TGCATAAACATGCGTTTCAGGGCCTGAAACGCACGTCACTACGTTCTTGACTCTCAAGAGTAGAAAAAATGAGGTCAATACAAACGAGGATATTTTTGTTTGCTCAATGAGGCTCAACTCGACAGGCAATACTGCCTGTTTGATTGCTCTCAAGTGGCAGAAAAATGCAAAGGTATAGCCAAATGGACGATGGAATTTTGTGCTGTCACTGGAAAAAAATATATTATCATTCTGATTATTACTTTCTGATGTTCTTCTTATCACTTATTTTACAAAAAATACTTGTTAAAATGCATGAAGTCGATAAATATACAAAATGCTGAGTGCAAATCTACAAACATAGGTAGCAAATAGTTTTAGAAACGAGCCCAATAGAGAACTAGATGAATGGGTTATATTTTAATGCGCTGGGAAATCCCCTTTCGAGACTAGAGGTCACTCATGTTTTTTCGCGCCGTTTCCACTTACTTACTTGAAGAGCGTACTTTGCCTTATTTCTGGCAAAAAATTTGAAGTCATTTTGAAGTTTGAAAATCAACTTGGCGTGAAAACAAATTAAAAAAGGGTCATGACTTAAAAGTGTCTCTACTATTCATTGACGCTTAATCAAATGATAGTTTGTTTGAAATAGCTGCTTTGAATACTGCTAGAATTCAAAAGTGATGAATTAGAAGCTCATTGATACGTGATCATCATGCAATTTTAAATTAGCTCAACTCTTTTTCGATAATATAATTTATACATAGAGGCGAATTTGTGCTTCGCAAACACTAGCGAGAACACAAAAATCATCTTTTAGAGTTCTAAAACGTGCAATAGGAAAACGTACAAATAAGCCTAGAATTAGTTAAAACTCGGTGACCTCACCAACTTAACGTACAACCTAGAAATTACGAGTCTCAAGTATTTACCACTCAGCCACGGACGCTTAGTCCTTCACAAACACTAGCCACAAATAAAGCCGAGAACAGATGCTATGAAATTTCTAATTCTATAGATCGTGATTATAGTAAAAGGCCCAAAGTGAACACTTTTAATGAGCACTTTTATTTGCAAGTTTGATTGGAAAAAGAAGGTTCGTACTAAAAGACTAACTTCTCGCTAGCGTAAAAACTGGCTACACATCTGAGCATACACTTTAGTCCGTGATTACCAGGAGATGGTTTGAACGTAAGTAACATAACAGCACCTCAAAACAAAATAAATAGATTGATTCAAACCCATTTGACGTGTTGTGTTGTAAAATTTCAAGCTATAATTTATTGCAATACATTGGCAGTTAGTTTGCTCATCATTACGTTTTAATTTTGGTAGATTAAAATACATACAATGCATGCAACAAATACCAGGCGAGATTCAGAGGAGAGAACTTAAGAAAAATTTGGGTTGTCGGCTATTCCGAATGAAAGATATGCCTACGATGACGCCCACGAATGAGCCGAATAACTCGAAACAACAACGACAGACACACGACCGCGATAGCAACCGCAATAAAATTTAAAATTGCTAACCAACTTTTTGAATTACACTTGAATCTTAGTGAATATCTAAGGAAAAGTTAGAGCACAGGCTTGGCACGTTGTAAAAACTCACAATGAGCCATCTGAACAAGAAATAGTTTTGAACCTAATTTCATTTTGTTTAGTTTAAAATTGATTTCATTCTTCAAACTTTCCCATGACATCTTATACCCATAGTCCTGATTTAATTTATTTCGATCAAACGCACAAAAGTGAAAGAACTAAGCGCATTTTTGGCAACTGTGTTGACTTTAAACAAAATGAATTCAATTTAGTGTGATTTTTATGATAACGATTATAATAATTATTGTTACAAATATTAAGATTAAGCTTAAAACTTAGATTATTATAATAACTTTACAGAGGCGAAGCTGCACTTCGCAAACATGAGCCAGAAAACGACAAACATGAGCAAAATGAGAAAAAGTATAATTAAACCTCCAAGTAGTAAAACATTTCATATCAAAGTTTTACTACATCGAGGTTTATTTCTACCTTTTCTCATTTTGCTCCTGTATTGGACTTGAACCTGTGACCTCGAAATTTGAAGCCTCACGTTCTCGCATCTACGTCACAGTCCATTGAAACTTTCCTTAAGCTAGCAAAAAAATGAAGAATGACAGATGGTAAAAAATTGTCAATGCTTTGCAGCAAATGCCACTTCAACCAGTAGCCTGAGAATGTGACGTCTTTTTCTCTGTGCTACTGCCGAGCAGCAAACACTAGCGACCAATAAAGCAGAGAGAAGTTTAAAATTTCTTATGCAGCAGATCCTGCATTACAGCAGTGTTCCATTATCATTACTTGCCAGTTGGATTGGTAAAAAGTTGAAAAAATAGAGTCATACTATTCGCAAACGCTTGCTAGTTGGCTTATGTAATCATGATTAGTAGTATGATCATTATTATCTGTATTATTAACAGTGATACAATTTTATCGAGGACGGTTCGTAGATTTCTTAATTTACCGACTGCGTTTCCGTCCTCTGCGTACCATTTCTGGGTTACATCGTCTACTGATAAGAGTTTTATGAGGGGTATTATGGCTAGACCGTACATGGCCATAGCTAGTGGATCCCCCTGGGTTGTCCCTTCTTGAGAGTAGATTGTTTTTTTTGTTAACGAATAGTTTAGATGGATTGGAGTAGGAGTTCTTAATCGCTGTTAAAAGGGAAGGGCAGGTGTTCTCGATGATTTTTAATGCCAGCTTTCGGTTCAGCGAGTTGAAAGCGTTTTCGGCATCTATCAGTAAAATAGCATCGGCGGAATTTTTGCTGTATTGATCTCTTAGCGTGTGGATCGCATATTCAATGCCACATTTTCGTCCTAGGCAGAGTTGGTAGTTTGAACCGAGCGACATGAGTTCGTTTTTCAGGCATTTAGTTATTGTTCGCCCTATTATCCTACGCATAACTTCTCCTATGCCTATGGGTCTTACCCCTGGATTCTTATCTAAGGGTATTAATCTGCATGCTTTATATGGTTCCATTAGTTCTGGATTTAGCTCTTCTGTGGCCAATTTTTTGGCAATTTTAGCAATTGTTTTTGAAATTTCAACTGATTGTTGCCCGAAGTATGTTAGAATACGCATTACAGCAGTGTTCCATTAGCATTACTTGCCAGTTAGATTGGTAAAAAGTAGAAAAAATATAGTCATACTATTCGCAAACGCTTGCTAGCTGGCTTATGTAATCATGATTAGTAGTATGATCATTATTATCTGTATTATTAACAATCATATTATGAGTATTATTGTGAATTAGGGTCCGAAGTTTCCATATTGTGAAACTTCCATATTAATTCTGGTACGCATCAATTATTGTTTTAAGTTTTCAACTTTGTTCGTTTGATCTGGATAATTTGAATCAGCTATCTCATTCGATGGTGTGTCACGGGGCCGGGTTGGGTTGGGGCTGATCACCATTTACAAGGCCGGCAAAGTTCCTTCCCAGCATTTCTGTTTCTAATTCGTTACATCCTTTATTATTTAATGCAATCACTCTTTCTGGTTCATTGAAAGACTTTTGCTGAAAGTATTTCGGATATTGTTAGCTTACTGCTTCAAAAAAAATAACAAGTTTTAACCTCCCAAACGACATGGGTTTCATTCATTTTGACGAATTTGTCTATTTAATGCCTTAACAGATCTAATTAGTTTGAGATTCAGAGAATGCGGCTGCGTGGGTACAAACTATCTGATTTTCATCAATCATGGGTATTAATTTAGTTGGGGCTACGAGGTGGTTTATGGATGGCGTATGAGAAGTTAAGCTGAGGAGCAGAGAGAAATAACTCAAAACAAGTTGATCAAGTTCTTTTTCTTTTTAATCTCCTCCTTTCGGCAGTTGGGTGTTCTGTTCAGGTCTGCAACCTTTGCTTCTTTCTTCTTTGACGACGTTGATCTTTCATTTCATCCTGTCCATGTGTTGTTGTTCCTTTTTGAATCTCTCTTCTCTTCACTTGCTCCGCTGGTAGTACTGGTCCAGGATCTTCTGACTGATTCGCTTGAGCAGATGAGGTCCAAATGTCCTTAACAGCGACCACGCTATCTCCAGACTCTCCTGGATCGTCCTGTTCTCATACGCTCCTACAACACAGCAAATCACACAGTCAAACACCAATTAAAACAGGTGCAAAACAAAATCAACAAAACTAACAAGTCCGCCTGTCGGTCATCGCAATGTTAATATTACAATTACTCAACACTTTTCCATATACCTCCAATCACGGCATATCGCATTTCCAAACGCATTTCATATCGCAAGCGTCCAAAAAGTATCAGCGTGTTAATAAAATTATAGCCAACAAACAGTTGGAAAAGAGCCTACGAACGCAAAAAAAAAACACTGAATAGTGAATTAAAACTCAGCTTCCGAATCTCAAAGAAAAAAAATTTCCTTTAAGCCCTTTGAATTTCAAGAAAAAATTAGGATTGACACTTTTTTGCTAAAATTAACTGAACTTGAAAAAACTGGATAGTTATTTCGCTGGTTAATCTGAAAATTAAATATTAAATTCCACTTTTGAAACTAGAATTCGATCACATTTTTGTGACCTTTGCATTTTCGCTGTTCGATAGTGCAGTTTGCCTTACTTTCAACAAAAGGCAATGAGCTAACCAAAAAATCATATGTGAAACGGCGAAAAATTAAATTCGAGCCTGATTAATTTTTATGATTTCTACTGAAAAACGATCAGGACCTATATGAGAGTGTGAACTATGTTGATGGACTAGATAAAAGGCAGCCAGATTGACGAAGACCATTCGCACTCCCACTCCCAAGTGCTGCTCCACTGAGATATAAAAGATGCGGAGCTGATGAGAGTCAAATAGAACATGAACGCATTTATGTGGTCGGTTGTGTTGGCGTCGGTTTATCCCAAGATGTAGATTTGGCCCAAAGCTTACTACTCATATCTTGCAAAAGCAATAACTCCTCATCCCCTCCGTGCGCGGACAGGCAATTGAAATGATTTAAACAATACTGGGCAGCAAAGTACCTGTTCAGCCGTGAGTTGATAATTGTTATCTCGCCAACCAAACAACGCGCGTGAACATGATTGAGGAGGGAAGAGAAAGGAGCTCAAACCACCCGCAGACTCAGAGGCGACCCTCAAAATGGCCGCAGCTCCGGCACTGTAACCTTAAGACAAGGATACATATTTTTAGTGGGTGTGGTATGATATTACCTTGAGAGATAAATTTGGCCTCGAACTTGTCAAGGAACTCGAGGTAGAGTTTGTCGTCTGAGGAGAGTGCTTCCTCCCCAACCACCGCCTTCATCGCCTGCACGTCCTTCCCAATCGCGTAGTTCGCATACAGCTGGTTCGACACCTAACACATTCATCAACATACATCACATCAATCTCACTACATGTTTATTTTCGAGCGCAAAAAGGTGGGAAACCTCAACAGTATAACGAAAAGACTACTTTTTAAATTAGTTTAATAATTCTTTGAGATTCGAGACAAGTTTGTAATCTGTTAAATAAAGTAACAGGAAAACACAAAAAACCAAACAAAAAAGTGCTCTTAAAATTGATGGAGAAACTATTTCAGAATATGAGCAGCTTGTACTTTTGCAACAATAGGATCAAAGCTTGTACGAAGTATCGAGAAAGCAGTATCGAGAGTGTTGGTCAATCAAAGTACTCGTTCAGCTGCTCCTTTCGTGAAATCTTAGAACCAATCAAAAGTTTTTGCTGAAATAATGGGCAATTATTTCTAAAGCCTCAATTCGCCTAAAAGCCCTACTGATATATGCGGTGACATGAACGTCAACATTTTGTGCGGAAAACATTCTCTAAATGGTTCTGAAATCAGCGGTACGGACCCAACTAGAATAACGGATCGTTCAAAAACTTGCTTAGATCATTTTGATGCCCGAACCATTCCTCATTACAGGTACTTGAGCATTAGAATTTCAATGGAAATATAATATAAAATTTACAAAAAAGCAGAGATTTAGAGATGTCGCATTTCTTGATCATGTAGCAAAAGTTAAGCTGTACGAAGACACTCTACGAGAAAAGCGAACTGAAGTGCAGATGACTCATTGCACATGTTCATGTTTTTTGAAAGTCACGGAAAGCTTCTTTCCTATAAAATATTACACAATAGCGTATGCAGTGAAAAACTAAAATGTTTAACAACAAATATACAAATAAGAATTCATTGCGAAACAATTCATTGCACATCAAAAATCGGTTGAAACAAAATGTATTAAAAACTTGCAACGTTCAGAAAAAAAAGTGCAAAAGATAAAATTGTCGAAGAAACATTACTACAACTCCTAGTTCCTTTGTTGTTTTGGGGACTCTGTCAAAAACCTTAAAAACTATTAGTTGAAATGAGTGGAAAAGGTAATAATAATAATTATCTAGAGCACAAATCAAGTGTGCATTCCAGTCCTAATTCTTCATCTAGCGATACTGCTAAAAATGGTTTAGAAGATCAAAACACGGTGGAATTCCGCCCACCAGTTATTCTGAATCATACAAATTGTTCTATTTTTGGCCAAAAGCAATCAATGATAGAAGTAGATGGTGTTTTTTTTTCGAGTTAAGCAATTAACTTATCATCGGTAGCGGTGAAACACAGAACAATCCTTTTCAAAACATAAAACAGTTCATCTTTAAACTATTCATATCAAGCAATCAATGAAACCAAGTTCTCCGGAGATGTCACGAGGGAAAACCGAGTTTTTCCACGAGTTCTCTCAAAATCTAAAGTAACGCCACTTCGTAAAGAAGGCTCGAAAGTCGAAGCGGATAATTACAAAACAATTTCTCTTCTAATTGTATGGGATAAAATATACGAAAGAGTTTTTTATCGGGTGAAAATTCGTTTTTGCAAGAAACATCACACACTATACGCAATGGCTGAGCTAAATGAAGAAGTCAGATCTAGTAGCAAATATGAACTAATAAATTTATTCCTTGATTTAGCCAAACACTTGACCACGAGGTGCATTTGAAGCTGCATTAGCAATACTTTAAAATATACTTGATTGCTTTAGATGCTACCTGTCGAACCAATTGATTAGTGTCGAACTAGCTGATGCTACAAGGCTTAACATTGAGTGTGGTGTACCGCAGGGATCTATCAGATGACCTTCTTTTGTTTTTAATCTACACAAAAAATCTGCCTCGGAGCTGTCAGAGTACATAAATTTATCTGTTTTCTGATGACACAAACGTAACTGGAATTGGTTGATCGTCTAATAAAATACGGTAAGAATTAAATCGAAATTGTTCTTGGTTGAACGTCAACAAGCTTAAGCTTAAATTAAAAACCTGTAAGATATCCTCTAAGATCTATGGCGTTGATCGCAATGCTAAACTGTCTGTTTGTTTTGTTTAAAAAATTTGTGAGTACGGAGATTGATCTTAGCAAAAAAATTGATTAAGATTTATCTTTGAAACGTCATGTTGGCGATGTAGTACAGAGACTCGGAAAACAATGTGAAATTATAAGTAAACTAAGACATTTAGATCCAAGATTGCAGTTTTTTTGAATATAATAGCAAGTAAAAATCTATCACTCAGTATGGGGTGCTCATTCACGGATGCTGTTATTTCTCTACTAAGAAGTCATTTTTTGCTGCAAGAAATATTTTTAGAAGCCGGAATAATACATTTGAAGACATTTTCAGTCGAAATGATTTATGAATTACATTTTATGTACAGGAGCTATTGAAATGTGTTGCTCTCAATCAATCGGCCTCATTCAACGCTGCCATTGGAGAAAAAAATTCTGTGGACCACTGAGCGTTCTTCAAACAAAATGTTGAAAGTCTTTTTTGTTAAGCACAAAAATGAAAAACACAGACTTAGAGATGCTCACCTTTCTAAACTCCTCAGCAAATGACTACAAACAATTGCAAGATTTAGCTATCGTAATTATCATCAAAGAATGCGTCATTCAGTGATCGGTGATTTCCTTTTCTCGTAATAATTAGAAGCCAAAATAATCAAAAACCCCAACAGAAACTTCAGTTTTTTGCAAATCAAGCGTCGAACTTCTGAAATTAATCAAGCAAGCATTTTGCCAAACATGTAATTTTCGATGAAGTTAATTATACAATGAGACCAAAAGTTTATTTTCACCGCCTGAATTATTTGGTCATTTCGAGCAAGCTGCTTATACAAAGAAGCATCAAACTATCGCAGAAGCAAACCACTAATAAGAAGCAAGCAACGCATAAGAAGCAAACCACTCATAAGAAGCAAGTCAATCCTAAGAAGCAAGCCACTCATAAGATGCAAGCAACTCAAAAGAAGCAGATCGCTTGTGACATGTGATATAATTTGAACTCAATACACTCAAGGAACTTTCGACAAACATTTGATATTTATATGTTTGTCTAAAATAAAAACAATTTATTACTGATAAAAACTTAAATCTTCAAAACTACGAACTGAAAAATGTAATTATAGACGCTGATAAACAGGCATCTTGAAAGGGCGCATCACAATTCTAATGTAAGTATACTAAAATTCGGCGGTCTTTCGTTGGAAAATTAGACCAAACTCAAATCAATAATGCGTTCCTCCTTATTTGGCAAATACAGAGGTGAGCCCGCACTGTTCGATTCGCAACTTCCAAACGTCGACCACACAATCAAGGAGGTGACTCCAGACGCTCTCAATGTTCAGTGGACATTCGGAGGAAATGCACCTCCACCAGTTGCAAAAGCATGTTCATGTTTTTTGAAAGTCACGGAAAGCTTCTATCCTATAAAAATTACGCAATAGCGTATGCAGTGAAAAATTAAAATGTTTAACAACAAAAAATACAAATAAGAATTCATTGCGAAACAATTCATTGCACATCAAAAATCGGTTGAAACAAAATGTATTAAGAAACTTGCAACGTTCAGAAAAAAAAATGGGCAAAAGATAAAATTGTCGAAGAAACACTACTACAACTCCTAGTCCCTTTGTTGTTTTGGGGACGCTGTCAAAAACCTTCAAAACTATTAGTTGAAATGAGTGGAAAAGGTAATAATAATAATTATCTAGAGCACAATTCAAGTGTGCATTCCAGTCCTAATTCTTCATCTAGCGATACTGCTAAAAATGGTTTAGAAGATCAAAAAACGGTGGAATTCCGCACACCAGTTATTCTGAATCATACAAATTGTTCTATTTTTGGCCAAAAGCAATCAATGATAGAAGTAGATGGTGTTTTTTGTTTCGAGTTAAGCAATTAACTTATCATCGGTAGCGGTGAAACACAGAACAATCCTTTTCAAAACATAAAACAGTTCCTCTTTAATTTATTCATATCAAGCAATCAATGAAACCAAGTTCTCTGGAGATGTCACGAGGGAAAACCGAGTTTTTCCACGAGTTCTCTCAAAATCTAAAGTAACGCCACTTCGTAATGAAGGCTCGAAAGTCGAAGCGGATAATTACAAAACAATTTCTCTTTTAATTGTATGGGATAAAACATACGAAAGAGTTTTTTTATCGGGTGAAAATTCGTTTTTGCAAGAAACATCACACACTATACGCAATGGCTGAGCTAAATGAAGAAGTCAGATCTAGTAGCAAATATGAACTAATAAATTTATTCCTTGATTTAGCCAAACACTTGACCACGAGGTGCATTTGAAGCTGCATTAGCAATACTTTAAAATATACTTGATTGCTTTAGATGCTACCTGTCGAACCAATTGATTAGTGTCGAACTAGCTGATGCTACAAGGCTTAACATTGAGTGTGGTGTACCGCAGGGATCTATCAGATGACCTTTTTTGTTTTTAATCTACACAAAAAATCTGCCTCGGAGCTGTCAGAATACAAAAATTTATCTGTTTTCTGATGACACAAACGTAACTGGAATTGGTTGATCGTCTAATAAATTATGGTAAGAATTAAATCGAAATTGTTCTTGGTTGAACGTCAACAAGCTTAAGCTTAAATTAAAAACCTGTAAGATATCCTCTAAGATCTATGGCGTTGATCGCAATGCTAAACTGTCTGTTTGTTTTGTTTAAAAAATTTGTGAGTACGGAGATTGATCTTAGCAAAAAAAATGATCAAGATGAAACGTCATGTTGGCGATGTAGTACAGAGACTCGGAAAACAATGTGAAATTATAAGTAAACTAAGACATTTAGATCCAAGATTGCAGTTTTTTTGAATATGATAGCAAGTAAAAATCTATCATTCAGTATGGGGTGCTCATTCACGGATGCTGTTATTTCTCTACTAAGAAGTCATTTTTTGCTGCAAGAAATATTTTAAGAAGGCGGAATAATACATTTGAAGACATTTTCAGTCGAAATGATTTATGAATTACATTTTATGTACACGAGCTATTTAAAT